TGACCCATAGGCTAAGAACCACTGGAATACATGAATCTGTATATTTTTGTGGCAAATCTACACAGAGCAAAAAAGCATGATAGCTCAGACTTCTCTAGAGTTCTTATCTGTTAGAATATTTCAAGTATATTTCTTGCTGAGATTTTTGGGCATAAGGTATGACAACTTCCCCATGCCTGACATTGCCCAGAGAAACACACAAGATTGCCCACCACACCCAGAATTCACACATCAGGGTATTTTCTACAGGAATCTGTATTTCCACACATCTCCCATTGAGAAATAGGCACGAGCTCCAGAAACATACTCAGTCCAGGAATCCCAGGCTAAATCTTCCAAGTGGCTAGGGTGAAGCCATCATACACGTTTTGAGCAAAGTAAGAAGTACATTGGCCTTGTCTAAAAGGCTGGAAGAAAAGATGGTGCTCTGACAACTCTTAAAAAAAAATCACCCTTGCTCCCCTCTCATCACTGGCTCTCACATGTCGTGTGGTGGGTAATGGGCTATGATACCTGACAATTTGGGGGTTATTTCCTAATAAGATTAGCACATCTTTTCCAGTTTCTCTTTCAAAGGTGGGGATAATTATTCTGCTCTTCTTGTTGTATTTACCTGTGAGCCTTTGCCTGGAAGCAAATACCTAGCAATTACGTGCACAGCGATTCAATTGCCCTGAACAAATTTCTGCAAACATCTGAGCAGACTAATCCACATATATTCTAAATATTTATTTTTTATTACATTTAGGACTTTTTTTTATAGATTTGTTTATTTTATGTCTATGAGTAGTTTTGCTTGTATGAATGTACGTGTGTGCCTACAGGATTCTGAAAAAGGCATCGAATTCTCTGGAACTTGGGTTATGGATGGTTGAAATCCACCATGTGGGAGTTGGAAACTTAACTTGGGTACTCTCTAACAGCAATCAATTCTCTTTATCACTGAGTCATTTCCTCAATTAGTTTTATTATATTTTATTGGTTTATTTTGTGTGCGTATGTCTCTGTGTGGGTGTGGGCGTGTAAGCTTCACCTGTGAAGGTTATAGTGCAATTCTGGAGGAGCAGCCAGTGAATTTAACTGTCGAGCCATACCCCCAGACTCCTATAATAATTCTGAATTAGCTTGCATTCCATTTTTCTTACTCCCATGACAGCATGTGTCCTTAGTTTTTCATTTGAGTGAATTTAAACTTGGAATCAACTGTTCAGGCTGACCTTGGTGTACATGAGTGTCAGGTACACAACTGAGCTGAGTAACATCCTCTGGCACTCGAAACTCCTGTGTTACAAGTATTAGCAATATCTTTAGGCTTCTGTTATGTGCTAATATGAGACCACTTAACAAATATTGTTCTTGTTTGACTCCTTAGTATGAAATGTCCTGAGTATTTTGTGTTTTTTTTTAATTCAAGGCAAATTTTCTGAAGACACATTCCAGTATAACTCTTTTATTCATTCTTTGAGATTCCTATACAATATATTTTGAATATATTGCCCCCCCCAAACCCTCCCAGATTTTACATCATCCTTCTTACCTACCCAGTTTCATATTCTTTGTCTTGCTTAAAATACACCACAGAGAAACACACACACACACACACACACACACACACACACACACACACACACACGAGTCCAATTTGTGTTAGCTAACTACTCCTGAGCATAAGGCCTGACCCATAATATGGTTGATATACCCAGTGTTATTCTATTGTTTCATATTCTTTGTCTTGCTTAAAATACACCAAGCAACACCATACACACACACACACACACACACACACACACACACACACACACGTCCAATTGGTGTTAGCTAATTACTCCTGAGCATAGGGTCTGACCCATAATATGGTTGATATGCCCAGTGTTATCCCATTGAGGAGAACTGAATTTCCCTCTCCAAGTAGCTATCAGTTTTGTATAACTTCTTGTCCAGAGATGGCACCTTGTGCTCACTTCTCCTGCTGCTGAGATTTTTGTCTTGCTTGTACTTGTATGGGTCATGGACATGTTGTCATGTTCTCTGTAAGTTCATATGTACTTCTACCTGGCTATGACTTGAATATCCTGATTCCCTGAAAGCATCTGCCACTTCTGGCTGCTACAGTCTTTCTGCATCATCTTCTGCACAGAACCCTAGATGAAATTTCAATGTTGTTTTAATTGCATTTCCCCAATGGCTAAAGATGTTGAAACATATTCATGTGTTTCTCAGTCAGTTGTGCTTCAGCTTTTGAGAACTCTCTGTTTAGTTCCATGTGAGATGTTTAATTGGGTAATTTGTTTTCTTGATCAATTTTTGAGTTTTTTGTATATTCCAGATGTTAACCCCCCTGTCAGATATATATCTGGTAAACATATTTTCCAACTCTGTAGGCTGTTTCTTCACTCAAATGAAGGTGTCATTGCTTTTTAGTTTTATGAGGCACTTTTTTTTATATTTAAAATTTTATTTTATGGCTGGAGAGATGGCTCAGAGGTTAAGAACAATGGCTGTTCTTCCAGAGGTTCTGAGTTCAATTCCCAGCACCCACATGGTGGCTCACAACCATCTGTAATGAGATCTGGCTCTCTCTTCTGGCCTGCAGGGATACATGCAAACAGAACACTGTATTACGTAATAAATAAATAAATCTTTAAAAAAAATTTATTTTATTCTTTTTTAAATTTAAGAATTTTTTATTCATTTTACATACCAACCACAGATCCCCCTCCCATCCCTCCCCCCCCCTACCCCCCATCTCCCCCCACCAACTTCCCTATCCCCTCCTCCAAAAGGGTATGGCCTCCCAGGGAGTCATCAAAGCCTAGTACAATCAGTTGTACCAGGAAGCCGATACCCTCCCCCCTGAACAAGGCAAGGCATCCTACCATAGGGAATGGGCTCCAAAAAGCAAGCTCATGCACCAGGGATAGACTGATACGACTGCTGTGGTCCACTTGAACAGACTAAGCTACACAACTGTCTCTGGCATGCAGAGGGCCTAGTCCAGTCCCATGCAGGTTTCACAGCTGTCAGTCTAAAGTTTATGAGTTCCCACAAGCTCCTGTCAGTTGTCTCTGTAGATTTCCCCATCATCATCTTGATCCCCCTTCCTCATATAATCCCCCCTCCCTCTCTTCGACTGGACTCCTGGAGCATGGCCTGGTGCATGGTTGTGGATCTCTGCATCTGCTTCATTCAGTTACTGGATGAAGGCTCTATGATGACAGTTAGGGTAGTCACCAATCTAATTACCAGGGTAGGCCAGTTCAGACACCCTCTCCACTACTGCGAGTAGTCTAAGCTGGGGTCATCTTTGTGGATTTCTGGGAATTTCTCTAGCCCCAGGTTTCTCCCTTACCTCATAATGTTTCCCTCTATCAAGATATCTCTTTCATTGCTCTCTCACTCCATCCCTCCCCCAGCTGGACCATCCCATACCCTCATGCTCTATGAGGCCCAATTTATCAATTGTTGGTCTTAATGTCTGTGCTATCATAGTCCTGTCTTGTTTTCTTGTGCCCCTGAGCTTGAGTGTAGTCCCTATTTTTATTTCTATCAGACTGAGGAAATAAATTGAAGAAGCTACCAGAAGGTGGGAAGACCTCCCTTGATTACAGATTGGTAAGGCTAATACTATAAAAAGTGGCCACTATATAAAAAACTACACATAGAGTCAATATGCCCCCATAAAAATCCCAACATGATTCTTCATAGAAATTGAAAAAAAAAAGCCAAAACCTTAAACATCATATGGAAACACATAAAGCTCAGGATAACTAAAACAATCTTGAACAATAAAAAAAACTACTGGAGGTGTCACCATTCCTGACTTTAATGTGTACTACAGATATAGTAATAATACAATATGAAATTGGCATAACAACAGACATGTTGATCAATGGAATAGAACTGAAGACAAATCCACACACCTATGGACACCTGATTTACAACAAAGAAGCCAAAAATGTGCACTGGAGAAAAGATAGCTTTTTCAGCTATAGTACTGGTCAAACTGCATAGTTGCATGTAGAAGGACTGAAAATTGATCCATATTTCTCAGCCTGCCTATAACTTGACTCCAAATGGGTCAAAGACCTCAATGTATGACCTGATATCCAGTATAATTCTCATGGATGAGGGAGATAGTCAGTTATATGGTACAGCTTCAGAGAAAAACAGTGGGTGGAATCCACCTTCCAGTATAAAGTGGTTAGACTAAAGAGTAAAAGATTTTGCAATGTAATGCTTTAGTTTATTATCCCCACAAACCCCAGCATTATATATAATATCATATATAAACAATTATTTGCCTTTGTTTATGGATAAGCTATTCAAGAAATTTAGGAGGTGACTGTTCTTGACAAATATATTATTATTGCTTTTGAAAACAAACTCAGAGTGTGAACCAAATGACTTTATCTACTAGGGAAACTGATCCTTGTACTTTCATGTGAAAACTGTTGGTGTTTCTGACTCAAATTTTGCCTGTCTGATTGGTCATCATCATTGTCTGTAAGGGCTCTTGGCCCACTGAGAAGGCTTCCACCACTGCCTGATTCCTGCCTTGCTTCTCAGTGCCTGGAATTCCCAGATTCCTTGTTTTCTTGGGAAACATGAAGGGAAGGACTTACTGAGGAACAATAAGGGTTTCTTTGCACACTTCTTGGTTCATCAATTAGTGAATAATTTCACTATCTCCATTGAAAGTAAACAGCTTTAGAACCTTCCTGCACAGTTTACAGAATCCTTAGGTCAAGTTCACAAAACTAAAGATGGCTTGGGTCTTAGGGCCATCTACCATCTTCATCTGCCTGGATGACACTCTCAATATGGGATTGCCTGCTTGTCCAGCCTTGCTTGTTCTCTTTCAGCATGCTGAGGTAGGCTAGTTATCTACTTTAAGGACTCTTTTGGGTACTGAACCTTTGTCTTTTCCTTCCCCTCACACCTTGGCCCTTTGGCCCTTCCTTTGAAGACTTCTTCAATGAAATGAATGAAGACAGTTGCCATCATGTTGATACACAAGAATTTTATTCTCCAAAATCCAATCCTCACTTCTCATATCTTGTCCAGGAGAGGCTCCAGCTGCACAGAGCAGAACACAGGGGCTGAGTGGTGCTACCCCATTGAACCAGAATGGCTATGAGAAAAATAAAGATGAAAATGATAATGTTAGCAAGGATACAAAGAAAAAGAATCCCTATTGGCAAGCACAAAAATGAATATAGCCAGTATAAAAGCATATCAGTTTCTCAAAAAAAAAGTAACCCAGAATTAAAAATAGTCAACCATCTAATCAGTATATTGGAGGTGAAGTTTTCCTGTGTCCCACTTGGCCCGTGATCAGGACAAATCTCTCTCACCCATGAGTCCTGCAGCTGCTTGGACCTAATTAAACACACAGAGGCTTATATTAATTAAAACTGCTTAACCATTAGCTCAGGTTAACTATTGACTAGCTCTTACACTTAAATTAACCCATAATTCTTATTTATGTTTAGTCACATGGCTTAGTACCTTTTCTCAGTTCTGCTTTCACATCTTGCTTCCTCTGTGTCTGGTTGACGACTCCTGTCTCTTCCCAGAATTCTCTTTGCTGCTTGTCCTGCCTATACTTCCTGCCTGGCTACTGGCCAATCAGCATTTTATTTATTAACCAATCAGAGGAACACACTCACAGCATACAGAGCGATATCCACAGCACTTCCCCTTTACTTTTTTTCAAAAAGGAAGGTTTTAAGTTTAACATATTAAAATTACATATAACAAAACAGTTAGCAAGCAAGAATTATAATATCTAGTCTATATTTGGCAAACTTAAAGAAAATACCTTATCTATCCTATATTTGTGAGTCTAAGGTTTCATATCTATCTTATCTCTTATTATAACCAAAGAAAATTGTAACTATCTAGTTTTCAACTGCATCAAAGACCTCAGAAGGATATAACATTACCTAAAAAAATGGGAAGTGCATTATAAGCAACTTTCAAAAATCTAGAATGACAGAGACAGCTCAAGTTTCCACCTAAGTTCATGCTTCATGTCTCGTGTGGGTGGCAAGATACTGCAATATGCAGGCTTGAGCTACTCTATGGCAGGTTCATGGCATGTGGGCTTGACCTGCCACATGGCAGATTCCAAGCCATGCAGTATGCTGCTTGGTGGATATAGCTTTTGCTAGTACAACAAATAAAGGTTTCTGGGCTACACACTGCTGGATGGATACAGAGACCCTCTGCTTCTGAGAGTTGGTGGTATACATGGCTCCCAGAGCCAGAGCTGGTGGTAAATGTAGTTCTGCCATGTTGGAAAGATGAGATGGGTGGAGCCAGCAGCGACAGCTACTGTTCAGGCTTAATAATGCTGCAGTTTAAAGCAAGAGGTTCACAATAAGACAGACTCATATGGAGTAGTTTACAATGTGTGTAAAAGTGTATGTAGGCTTACAAGAGAGAGAAAAAATATATATACAGTTACACAAAGAAATAGTTTTAAAAATAAAGTCTTTAAAGAGACAGTAAAAGTAACATAAAAAATAAGCCATGTAAAGATGTATATCACACAGAGAATCTGTATTATGTTGTCTTTGATATTTTTAACTACAGAAAGACATTTGATTGTAAAGACTGCTCAGGAAAACCAATATATATATATTAAAGGTACCTTGACTTCCAAATTTGCATCTAAGGATATGTTGCTTTGGAAAGGAGGCTCTGCTTTTGTTTCCACAGAAAGTAAGAGGCTATGGATTTGTTCCAGATTAAGATACATAAGGTTTGACAAGCCAGGACCCCCTGAAAGGTCTCCGATAACACCGTGGCCCAGATGATCCAACATCCAGAATAGTTTCAAGGCAACTAGCTCAAACAATACAGCTTCACGGACTACCCTATAATCCTAAAATTTTCTTTATGTCTCCATAAGAATACAGCACCCTCATCCAGCAGGAAGTAGTATGAGAAGCTATACCCAAATTCTCAAATATACCAAGTTGGCTTTGGAGATGGAATTGGCTCACTCCTTCTCTAAACCCAAGCATATTTGCTAAAAGAAAAGGTTGAGAGATTCTTTTGTCCTATATCTGAAGAGTCCTCTGGTGTGAGGCAAAATAAAAACCCAATATTTTTATTTAGAGAAGGTTGATTATAAATGCAATCTCTTTCTAAAGAAAAGTGGTTAGTATAGATGTGGTAGGATGAAAGGATAGATTGATGAACCTACTTTTAGAGAACACCAACTTGTTTAGAAATGTTTTATATTGCTATGGATTTTGGTTTATTGATGCAGGTTTGAACTTAACTTGGTTATACTGTATATATATATATATATACATATATACATATATATATATATATTTCTACTCTCATTTGAGGTATTATGTTTATGTAACTCATTTAGATTGTAATGGATAATTAAAAATACAGATTAGTCTCCTATGATAGTCAAACTTATAGTCATGTTAAGTTTTCTAGGTACACATAGATATAATTCAATTAGGTAGGTAATCTTTAAACACTTCAAAGACCTACAGAATATGGCATTTAAAATGTTTTAAAAATTTAGACTTTCTGAACAATGAGACATGTCTGTTCCTGGCAGAACTGATCTACTTCAGAGAGGAGGATGGGCATTGAAGACACTCTATATGGAGTTTATCTTCTTCTTGGCAAAAATAGGCAAAAAAATAGGGAAAGAAACTATTCTTGCCTGAACTGCTTAATCGACTGGACATACAGGACCCATAAGAAGGTGACCACTAAACTTTCCTTGACAAAATGGTCCTTCAGGTTCCTGCTTCACAGAGGAAACTGCCAGATATTCTACAGGACACAGAGAAAAGTGACTGAGAGACTTTAGGCCTGTGGGCTGAAGACAGATGCCTCAAATTTACAGAGGAACTTTGGATGACTGTCCAGGCTGCCAGCTGTCTCTGTCTACTCTTGCAAGACTACCAAAAGTTGCTTGTGTCCTTCTTCCATTTCTCAGGTTAAAGTTAAAACTTTCCTTTTTGAAAAAAAGGGGGGGGGGAGTGCTATGGGATGTTGAGTCAGGAGACACTGCCAGTTGCTGCTGTTATGAGAAACAACATGTAAAGATACCGGTAAGCCATGAGCCACATGGCAAGGTATAGATTTATAGAAATGGGTTAATTTAAGATGTAAGAGCTAGATAGCAAGAAGGCTGAGCTATTAGGCCAAACAGTTTAAATAATATAAATGTCTCTGTGTTTATTTGGGTCTGAGTGGCTGTTGGCCAGGGCATGACTGGAGATAACTCCAGCTACAGTGTATATATCCAAAAGAACATCAGCATAAAGAAGAGATGCAAACATTCCCCTGTTGATTCCTACATCATTTACAGAGTTCAACTGTGGAATAAGCCTATGTTATTCAATAGATGAATGGATAAAGAAAATATTATATGCAAACATGCACAATGTAGTATTAATTAGCAAGAAAAGAGTAGAATTCTGTCCCTTGTAGAAACATGGATACAACTGGAGGACATGCTATGCATGGTAAGGTAGAAGGAAGGTGAGTATCCTGTGTTTTCTGTCATATGTAGAAAATATGAAAGAAAAATGTAAGATATAAAATAAAATAAATAAATACATGGATTTCAAAGTAGAAGAGGGATTCTGAGAGTGTTATGTGACTTCCTGATGAGACATATACAAACTCCTACTCATTCCAGATAGGGCTCCAATCACGGACAAAAGAAAGGATCCACAAGAGTGTAGCTGAGAGAGCCAATGGGTACATTGAAGTGACTTGCAGGAATGCAGATATGGGGTTTATTTATAGGAGTGCAACAACTAAATATGCAGCTGTATCAACCAAAAGCCTACTCCAACAAAAATTTTAGGAACTTCCAGAAATTTTTGCTTGTTTACATCCTGAGCCTTATAAGTCTTATTAACTTTCTGAGTCTTAAGGAAATTTCTTCCAGATGTAATATTTCAGTTTCTGAGGAAATTGATGTGTAACATAGGGGCCGGCAATGGCTCAGATAGAAGGATGAATGGATGCAATTGATTCAATATGCATACCTGTATAAAAATATCATAACAATTTTCATTAACTTGTACAGAAAAGAAATACCAGAAACCATCTAGGTGGTTTTATACCTACATTAAAGGAAAAACACTTCTCCTATGCAAATGAATTCATGGTAAATTCCCAACATCTGTGCATTTGTCATCTATTTATAGCTACCATATAGTTGATAATGTACAAAGTCCCAGACTAGAGACCCCAATGACCACAGGAATAATACGTTTTCCTGGTGACACTGACATGTAACATAAACAGCCCAATTAGGAGGATAAGGGTCCTAAGAGCAGACCAAAGAATCTAAGATACACCCACACCCACTGTTAGGAGTCCCACAAAAAACACCAGGCTCTCAGCTATAACATATATGCAGAGGACCTGGTGCAGACCTATGGTTTCCTCCCCGTGACTTCCTCCTATTGGGTTGCCTTGTCCAGTCTCGATGTGTGGGCTTTTGCCTTGTCTTATTGTATCTTTTTTTGTCTCATTTGGCTATAGTCTCTTGGAGTTCTACTCTTTTCTGAAGAGGAAATGGAGGGGGAGTGAATCGATGGGAGAGAAAAGGTGTCATGGGGAGCTGGGAAGTGTGGAGGTAGGGGAAATTGTGGCCAGATGTATTCAGTGAGAGAAGAATCTAGTATCAATAAAAAGAAAAAAGGAGAGAGAAAGAAACAAAGAAAAATGAATTATATTGTAAATACTTGAAGTTTTCAACATCATATGTGGGATACAGTAAACAACAAGACAGTTACCATAAAGAAGTGAACTAGAGGAAAGTTTGGTTCCTTAATATGAACCACTTGCAAAGAATAATTAAATAATCCACATTATAATACACTAGACAAAATTATGCCAAATTAATGAGTTATTTGTTTATATGCTTATTTTCACTTTTAATGTTACAATGAAAGAACTATTAAAAGTTCTTAACTCAGTGCCAAATCACATTATAAATATCTATTCATAAATGTTCATAAATTAAGAGGAGAGTTTTTTCATAGTATAGCCACCTAGTAGTCAAAGTCTGCAATGGTGGCAAACATTATGTTTGAAGATTTTAGAGTTTTATGGAATAATATGTAAGGT